TGGATACTGAATGATGTCATGGCGTGACTCTTGTTTGTTGATGTGGAAGTGGGTAGGCTACAAACTAGGGTTGGGCAGTATCCAGATTTTCATACGTCATACCGTTTCTGTACCATACTGGGGTATAAGGTATTACCGGAAGTGCACACAAGGGGCGCCATAAAAATAAATTACAATATTTATTTAATTTTTTTAAGCTTTTTGGTCTAAACTCCACTCGCCGTGTTTGGAGGAAGAAGAAGGATGAGTACAACCCCAAGAACACCATCCCAACCGTGAAGCATGGAGGTGGAAACATCATTCTTTGGGGATGCTTTTCTGCAAAGGGGACAGGATGACTGCACCGTATTGAGGGGAGAATGGATGGGGCCATGTATCGCGAGATCTTGGCCAACAACCTCCTTCCCTCAGTAAGAGCATTGAAGATGGGTCGTGGCTGGGTCTTCCAGCATGACAACGACCCGAAACACACAGCCAGGGCAACTAAGGAGTGACTCCGTAAGAAGCATCTCAAGGTCCTGGAGTGGCCTAGCCAGTCTCCAGACCTGAACCCAATAGAACATCTTTGGATGGAGCTGAAAGTCCGTATTGCCCAGCGACAACCCCGAAAACTGAAGGATCTGGAGAAGGTCTGTATGGAGGAGTGGGCCAAAATCCCTGCTACAGTGTGCGCAAACCTGGTCAAGACCTACAGGAAACGTATGATCTCTGTAATTGCAAACAAAGGTTTCTGTACCAAATATTAAGTTCTGCTTTTCTGATGTATCAAATACTTATGTCATGCAATAAAATGCAAATTAATTACTTAAAAATCATACAATGTGATTTTCTGGACTTTTGTTTTAGATTCAGTCTCTCACAGTTGAAGTGTACCTATGATAAAAATTACAGACCTCTACATGCTTTGTAAGTAGGAAGACCTGCAAAATCGGCAGTGTATCAAATACTTGTTCTCCCCACTGTACGTATTCAGACCCTTTGCTATGAGACTCGGAATTGAGCTCAGGTGCATCCTGTTTCCATTGATCATCCTTGAGATGTTTCTACAACTTGATTGGAGTCCACCTGTGGTAAATTCAATTGATTGGACATGATTTGGAAAGACACACACCTTTCTATAAAAGGTCCCACAGTTGACAATGCATGTCAGAGCAAAAACCAAGCCGTGAGGTCGAAGGAATTGTTCGTGGAGCTCCGACACAGGATTATGTCGAGGCACAGATCTGGGGAAGGGTACCAAAAAATGTCTGCAGCATTGAAGGTCTGCAAGAACACAGTGGCCTCCATAATTCTTAAATGGAAGAAGTTTGGAACCACCAAGACTTCCTAGAGCTGGCTGCCCGGCCAAACTGAGCAATTGGGGGAGAAGGGCCTTGATCAGGGAGGTGACCAAGAACCCGATTGTCACTCTAACAGAGATATAGAGTTCCTCTGTGGAGATGGGAGAACCTTCCAGAAGGACAACCCTCTCTGCAGCACTCCACCAATCAGCCTTTTATGGTAGCGTGGCCAGACGGAAGCCACTCCTCAGTAAAAGGCACATGACAGCCCGCTTGGAGTTTGCCAAAAGGCACCTAAAGACTCTTAGACCATGAGAAACAAGATTCTCTGGTCTGATGAAACCAAGATTGAACTCTTTGACCTGAATGCCGAGCGTCACGTCTAGAGGAAACCTGGCACAATCCCTACGGTGAAGCATGGTGGTGGCAGCATCATGCTGTGGGGATGTTTTTCAGTGGCAGGAACTGGTAGACTAGTCAAGATCGAGGGAAAGATGAACGGTGCAAAGAACAGAGATCCTTGATGAAAACTTGCTCCAGAGCGCTCAGGACCTCCGACTGGGGCGGAGGTTCACCTTCCAACAGGACAACGACCCTAAGCACACAGCCAAGACAACTCAGGAGTGGCTTCGGGACAAGTCTCTGAATGTCCTTGAGTGGCCCAGCCAGAGCCTGGATTTGAACCCGATCTAACATCTCGGAGAGACCTGAAAAGAGCTGTGCAGCAACGCTCACCATCCAACCTGACAGAGCTTAAGAGGATCTGCAGAGAAGAATGGGAGAAACTCCCCAAATACAGGTGTGCCAAGATTGTAGTGTCATACCCAAGAAGACTCGAGGCTGTAATTGCTGGCAAAGGTGCTTCAACAAAGTACTGAGTAAAGGGTCTGAATACTTATGTAAATGTATTATTTCTAAAAACCTGTTTTTGCTTTAACATTATGGGGTATTGTGTGTAGATTGTTGAGGGGAAAAAAAAGAATTTAATCAATTTTAGAATAAGGCTGTAACGTGAAAAAGTCAAGGGGTCTGAATACTTTCCGAAGGCACTGTATATTATTTAGTATATGTAAAGATTAAGATTAAATTAAGAATAGTCTGATGGGTGATAATATTAGCCTATCACTTGTGAATGATATACTGTCACTTGTGAATGATATACTGTCACTTGTGAATGATATACTGTCACTTGTGAATTATGCCCAAAATAAGAAACAATGCCTTTTTTTGTGCAACTTTTTTGATTCATAGTAGCTCTCCTTATGTAGCCTAGCCCATAGGCCTATATGTTTTAATAAGGTTGATCACTAAAGTGGCCAAATCATTTCTTTAAAGTTAAGCACATTAATCCGCTTTACAAGGGGTGTAGAGCCTAACTGGTATACTTAAACAGAGCGTGAGTTTCAAGTTTGGGGAAGATAATTTTCACCATAAAAATTCACCTTTTATAATAAAAGCATTACATGCATAATTACATTTGCGGTCACTTTTGATAATGGTGTTTTCCGCTGTTGGAACATTTGTGCTTATAGCCTACTACCATGTGAGCATTGCTGCGCTTATAATGTGAAGAAATAGCCTAATAGTTGATCATCATTTTAAGCTAAACATTCTGATCTGTTGCGTCAGCCACATTGCGTAAAAAATGTTTTGACCCTAGTGGTTTGATTAATTTAGGATCTATCGCATCCCACAACTGTCCCAGACTATGTTTGGAATATTTTTTTAGCGCACAGAATAGAATAGGTCGACCTTTGTACTATGGGGGATCGTAGATTGACATAGGTTAGTGCTTTTGCTGTTCGTTAGGCCTAGTCATCTTGTTGGCTGACAAAGTAAATGTGGACAGTTCTTCCAATATCTTCAATATGCACCTCGGAATTGGATAAGGACGCCCGCAGTTGCGCCCCTGATGTGTCTGCCTTTACTTGTAGCCTGTGAGAAAGACCCGATCACGTGATGGAGCGCGCAGCACTCCGGGCCAAGGGCACAAAGGGTGCATTACGGCCACACAAAGGGGATGCCGCCATGAAATTCTAGACAATATCAAGTGCTTGTCATATTGTGAATGAATGACTGATGTAACTACAGTCTGCGCAAAAAACAAAGCAGAGCTCATGCCTTTCAAGCGACTTTTTTAAAATCATCATTAGTCGCATTATGCAGCCTTACAATGTATTAAAAATCTAAACATATAGCCCAACGTTTGTAGAACAACTAAAGTTACATTAATAACTCTAAATGAAGCATATAGGAGTACCTATTTCTTTGTTAACCACTCAACACAGAATAGCTGCATGTGCGCACTCCCTCAAATCGTTTGGAGAAAATATCCTTTCTATTTTATTCAGCTTTGTTCAATTGTATTCTTCATACTATAAAATAATGCCATGGAATTCTAAGCAAATCTTGTCTTTCAAATGAACTAGTGTAGCCCACAGCCATTTGGTATAGCCAATCAGGACCTAACAGTTATTTGCTTGACAATCACCGGCTGACTAAATCTCGTGACCGCCACAGTCCTAGGTATGACCATCTTAAAACAATTCCATATGTTAGCTTAGAAGCCCCCCCCCCCCCCCCCCCCCCAAACGCATGGCAGCTTTCCCATATTGCTATAGAATTTTCACAAATGCTTTACTCTACGTCATTCCCGAACATTCTATGAATTTATGAAAACGTGAAAATGACTAAGTGCTCGCTTGTCAGATGTACAACATAAAAAATAAATTTAAAAAACATTCTTCCTGGAGGTGTATATGAACAGATTTTAATAACATTTCATGTTGCTAAAACACAATCAGTTCTACTTTAAATGTCAGTCTGTCTCTGTGTGTGTTCCTGAAGCCTTTCCCTACCATGAAACTGCTCTGCTACGCTGTACAAGTCTCAGGATGTGACACAGGCTAGTGGACATTATCCACTTAAAGTAATATAGCTTACACCTGGCTTAATCTGTGCTGCTTAATCTGGAGGAAGAACACGTTGGAGAATTGATGCCAGTCAAATATTCCCTTTGATTAATGCATCTGACTGCAAAGTGATTACCAATGTGTGTTTTGTTTACTAGCCTATCACAGCATTGAGCCTTTGCCTCTTCCACCAGCTTGGTGTTTCGTCTGGTATTGTTCTAGCACTCCCAAAATTGTAAGTGAAGTCTTTAGGTTGCATAAGGCTGGCCCCGGAGCGGTAGCATCTGGGAAGGAGGGAAATTCTATTATGATGTCTGAGGCTGCCGTAATCAGATCTGAATGGCAAAGTCAGGGAAGTGACTACCTCTGGAAGACTTTTGCGCCATCATGGTTTGAGGTCTTCTCTAAACTTGTAGTAAACTGATGACGGAAAAGCTACTGCGTTGTTTGTCATTTAGACACTGCAAGTTTGAGTCCTCTAGCCTGATGTATTCTCAGTAGTTGAGGAAGTGGTACACTAGTCACTGGTTGGGGAGAAATCTAGACTGTAACCTTTTTGAAAGACGTCAGCAGCTCAGCTCTGTGTGGTTTACCATAAGCTTGCGTCATTGTTGGTTATTAGTTTAGGCCTAAAAATCCCCTTCTGATGCTGGGTAATTCTGACTGTCCATCATATTGCTTTCACTTTTATGTAGAAGGCCTACTATCTGCTATAATCAGTGGTGATGAGAAGGAAGCCATGAAGATGAGTTGTAGCCTCTGATTCCATCCTCACCCTTCTCTCATCTCCTCCCACCCCTCTCTTCAGATGCTGCAGGATTGTGCGAAGGCTCGTCGGGAGGTAGAGCTGCACTGGAGGGCGTCGCCCTGTTCTCACATCGTACGCATCATGGATGTCTACGAGAACCTCTACCAGGGCAGGAAATGCCTGCTCATCGTCATGGAGTGGTAGGTCACACGCACACACACACACATCCGTTTAGCCTATTTTATTCAATGTTTTCTCTCTCTGTTTTAGCATGGATGGAGGTGAGCTGTTTAGCCATATTCAAGACCGAGGGAACCAGGCATTCACAGAAAGAGGTAAAGACATATTTGTCCTTATTTTTGTCCAGTTGTATGATGTCTCCCTTCACTCCACTGGTATTCAACTGTTCACTTGCTCAGCTATACCTCTAACTCTCTTTCTCCTCTCTCCCACCCCCTATCTAGAGGCCTCTGACATTATGAAGAGTATAGGTGAAGCCATCCAGTACCTGCATGCCATTGACATTGCTCACAGAGACATCAAGGTGTAAAGCCTGTCTGAACAGAATTATACCGTACATGCCTTCAGGCAGAACGACTTATTTTATGTACATGTTTAGTCAAAAAAAGTAATGCTATTTTCTCATCTCTCAGCCAGAGAATCTGTTGTACACCTCCAAAAGGCCAGACGCCCTCCTCAAACTCACCGATTTTGGGTTTGCCAAAGAAATCACCACACTCAACTCCCTGGCAACGCCATGCTACACCCCCTATTATGTTGGTAAGGGCATGCCACTCGGTCTGCATGCTTGCTGTTCAACATGCTTACTGACTGTGGTTTATAATACAGCCTAAATCTTGTTGGTGTAATTATTCATGAATACTTCAATGCCATTGATTTACTATGTTCATTAAATACAATGCTTGAATTTATTTAGTATTTTGTTTTTTCTCCCTCCTTTATCCCAGCTCCTGAGGTTCTTGGTCCAGAGAAGTACGACAAATCCTGTGATATGTGGTCTCTGGGCGTCATCATGTATATCCTGTAAGTGATACAAAATAGGTTGACAGCCCGAATCAATTCCCAATAGCAGCATGTACAGGATGTAGCATGTTTTGGTTCGTATAAATGTTCCTCTCCACCTCTCTCCCCAGGCTGTGTGGATATCCTCCCTTCTACTCCAACCACGGCCTTGCCATCTCCCCAGGGATGAAGAGACGCATCAGGAACGGACAGTACGAGTTCCCCAACCCAGAGTGGTCTGACGTGTCTGAGGAAGGTAATAAAGAGAACCCAGGGGTATTTATATGGTCCGGATTCAAAATGAATATCATGACATTGATGGGAATGATGGGCGAATATGTATAAAAAAAAAAAATATATATATATATACATATACATATACATATACAGTGAGGGAAAAAAGTATTTGATCCCCTGCTGATTTTGTACGTTTGCCCACTGACAAAGACATGATCAGTCTATAATTTTAATGGTAGGTTTATTTGAACAGTGAGAGACAAAATAACAACAAAATAATCCAGCAAAACGCATGTCAAAAATGTTATAAATTGATTTGCATTTTAATGAGGGAAATAAGTATTTGACCCCTCTGCAAAACATGACTTAGTACTTGGTGGCAAAACCCTTGTTGGCAATCACAGAGGTCAGACGTTTCTTGTAGTTGGCCACCAGGTTTGCACACATCTCAGGAGGGATTTTGTCCCACTCCTCTTTGCAGATCTTCTCCAAGTCATTAAGGTTTCGAGGCTGACGTTTGGCAACTCGAACAATCAGCTCCCTCCACAGATTTTCTATGGGATTAAGGTCTGGAGACTGGCTAGGCCACTCCAGGACCTTAATGTGCTTATTCTTGAGGCATTCCTTTGTTGCCTTGGCCGTGTGTTTTGGGTCATTGTCATGCTGGAATACCCATCCACGACCCATTTTCAATGCCCTGGCTGAGGGAAGGAGATTCTCACCCAAGATTTGACAGTACATGGCCCCGTCCATCGTCCCTTTGATGCGGTGAAGTTGTCCTGTCCCCTTAGCAGAAAAACACCCCCAAAGCATAATGTTTCCACCTCCATGTTTGACGGTGGGGATGGTGTTCTTGGAGTCATAGGCAGCATTCCTCCTCCTCCAAACACGGCGAGTTGAGTTGATGCCAAAGAGCTCGATTTTGGTCTCATCTGACCACAACACTTTCACCCAGTTCTCCTCTGAATCATTCAGATGTTCATTGGCAAACTTCAGACGGGCCTGTATATGTGCTTTCTTGAGCAGGGGGACCTTGCGGGTGCTGCAGGATTTCAGTCCTTCATGGCGTAGTGTGTTACCAATTGTTTTCTTGGTGACTATGGTCCCAGCTGCCTTGAGATCATTGACAAGATCCTCCCGTGTAGTTCTGGGCTGATTCCTCACCGTTCTCATGATCATTGCAACTCCACGAGGTGAGACTTGCATGGAGCCCCAGGCTGAGGGAGATTGACAGTTATTTTGTGTTTCTTCCATTTGCGAATAATCGCACCAACTGTTGTCACCTTCTCACCAAGCTGCTTGGCGATGGTCTTGTAGCCCATTCCAGCCTTGTGTAGGTCTACAATCTTGTCCCTGACATCCTTGGAGAGCTCTTTGGTCTTGGCCATGGTGGAGAGTTTGGAATCTGATTGATTGATTGCTTCTGTGGACAGGTGTCTTTTATACAGGTAACAAACTGAGATTAGGAGCACTCCCTATAAGAGTGTGCTCCTAATCTCAGCTCGTTACCTGTATAAAAGACACCTGGGAGCCAGAAATCTTTCTGATTGAGAGGGGGTCAAATACTTATTTCCCTCATTAAAATGCAAATCAATTTATAACATTTTTAACATGCGTTTTTCTGGATTTTTTTGTTGTTATTCTGTCTCTCACTGTTCAAATAAACCTACTATTAAAATTATAGACTGATCATTTCTTTGTCAGTGGGCAAACGTACAAAATCAGCAGGGGATCAAATAATTTTTTCCCTCACTGTATATACATTTTATTTTCACATACACCGGATAGGTGCAGTTTTAATCTGTTTTAATTCTGTGTGAATTGCTTACAAGAGTTGTGACTTTGTTTTTCTATCTCCCAGCCAAGCAGCTGATCCGCCACCTGCTGAAGACTGAGCCCACCCAGAGGATGAGCATCACAGAGTTCATGAACCACCCCTGGATCAATGTAAGCATAGCACCCCTCTGTTCCCCCAAATATACCATTTGAGCTAGGTGGTACACACATGAAGAAACTGTTGCTGCAGTGTGTATTGATCACAATGTAAGAGTACAAGGTTATTATTAAGAATATGTACAGAATCCAATACACTATCAGTGGTGTAAAAATACTTTAAAGTACTACTGAAGTAGTTTTTGGGGGTATCTGTACTTTACTTTACTATTTATATTTTTGACTACTTTTACTTCACTACATTCCTAAAGAAAATAATGTACTTTTTACTCTGTACATTTTCCCTGACACCCAAAAGTAGTCATTACATTTTGAATGCTTAGCAGGACAAGAAAATGGTCAAATTCACGCACTTATCAAAAGAACATCCCTGGTCATCCCTACTGCTTCTGATCTGACGGACTCACTAAACACAAATGCTTTGTTTGTAAATTATGTCTGAGTGATGGAGTGTGCCCCTGGCTATCTGTAAATAAATAAAAAACACGAATAGTGCCATCTGGTTTTCTTAATATAAGGAATTTGAAGTGATTTTTACTTTTGATACTTAAGTATGTTTTGGCAATTACATTTACTTTTGATACTTAAGTATATTTAAAACCAAATAATTTTATACTTTTACTCAAGTAGTATTTTACTGGGTGACTTTCACTTTTACTTGAGTCATTTTCTATTAAGGTATCTTTACTTTTACTCAAGTATGGCAATTGGGTACTTTTTCCACCACTGTACACTATGAAAGGGATTAATCATTCACTAGCAATGTTGGACCACAACACCTTTGGGAGATGAGAACACAGAGAAAGTCTCCAGTCAACACACATATTTCCTGTCATAGCATATTATATTTTTGTTGCACTGACATCCTATTCCAGCTTGGTGGTCCAGTCTGTTTGTGCTTAAGCCAACTCCTCTCTGTGCATAGAAATATAATTATTTATATGTCTCAGTCTGTTCTTTGTCATGCCAAAGAAACTGGCCTCACAGCAATGCTAACTTGGCCATAACCGCATACAGCATGGAACCATGCTCTTCTTTTTCAACAATGTCCTCCAGGAGTTGCTGAATACTTTTCACATTTCCAGTTTGCTCCTATATTCACGTGCCTTGGTTTGATACAATGTGTTTTCTAAAGCTATGTGCTAATGCTAACCCATGCTGGTCTCCCTGCAGCAGTCTATGGAGGTCCCTCAAACCCCTCTCCACACCAGCCGTGTGCTGCAAGAGGAGCATGACGTCTGGGAGGAGGTCAAGGTGAACTCATACACGGACACTGGCACTGTAGTGATTTGATAACATTATTTGGGCTTCTGACTTGGATCCACACGGCTCCTTCATGCTGATTGAGCACAACAACAACAATATCCTACTCTAGACTGTACAACATAGTGTTTGCTTCTATCTACACAATTGCGCATTTGCTCCTTTGGATATTCTGTGTGCTTTACACATTATTTTAAATTGTTTCTATGTGATATGCTAAAAGTGTTTTATTTTTGTTACTAGGAGGAAATGACAAGTGCCCTGGCAACCATGAGAGTGGACTATGAGCAAGTCAAAATCAAGACCATCGAGGACTCGACCAATCCGCTGCTGATGAAGAGAAGGAAGAAGGCAAGCCATGCAGCCACTGAAACACCGGGCCTGTGAAACAAAGACACACACACACTCACTCATGTGGTGAAGGATAGCTAATAGGACAACCAGAGATTGTTAAGGGGTGAAAGTCAGAATCTCAAGAAATATAATGTTTCCAGTTTTGTTTTTAACTTCATTTTTAGCAGTTTTATTCTCTTTTTTTTTTAACATTGCCATTGAAGCTATTTTTTTGCCTTTTTTGTCTGCAAAGAGATCAGATGTTTATCACATGGTGGGTATTGTTGTTGTTGATCGCTAAATGCGGGCCAACAGCACTGTAACTAATTCAGTATCTGACCCATCTCTGTTCTGTTCTGTGTTCTTCATGGTTGATTCCCCTCAGTATTGGCCACATGGTTCTCATGATGGTACTGTCATGGGTAAGTAGCTGAGAGACCATGGAAACATCCAGTTATACTGTGGTTACCCCTGCTTTAAGGACATGGCTATGTCTATAATCTTTTTTCCTGCTATGCACTGGAAACACTACCTGTTCTACCTGTGCACTGAAGGGCCGCGTTAGTTAACTCTTCACAATGGGGGAAGCAACATTTTTTGTTTGTATAATTTTATGTTTTTTTGTTTATTGCTTTAGTTGTCGTTCGTTGTATATACTTATTCACACCTCACACCAACGGTATTAATTTTCTATTTGTTGTGTGGGACTTTTTGTTTGCCATGAACTCTTTGCTTTGTTTTAGATTGGACTTTTGAATTGTATGACCGAAATTGAATGTGTTTTCATTGTTGGTTGGGTTTGATTTCTTAGCCAACACACCTGTAGCCAGAGCTATAACCACCATCATTAGAGTGGACTGACTGATTAGAAAGAAAGACTGTGTGCCTTGAGGACATTGGGCCGAATCCTTACTTGAGACCTGTGCACATAGCCTAACTTTTCACACACCTCCCATTGACGTTATGCATGATTGACACAAATTTAAGGTTTGTGCACTAATCTCAAATTTGGATTTTTCCTAATGTGATGACAGTGAGGGAATATTCAAGCCACCTTGTGGTAGACAATAGCACAGGGACATTATGTTATCCAATATCCACCCCATAGAATGAGCTCACAAAAGCCCCACAGTCCATAGATGGTGTAGCCCATGTCACGTCTATCCTGATGAAAGTCACAGATTAATGCTCATTGCACTTGTTTGAATATCTTATCACTGAATTCCCACTAATGAACTCTACAACATCAGTGTCACTAGCTATCATTTTCCACACATCAGCAATAGTGTTCAGGGTTTCTGCTGTGTTAGGTGATGGGGAACACTGAGGGTTAGGCCACCATTGTAATGCATGGGGACATGGCGGTACACATATGAAATGTAGCACATCTAGTCTCAGACTGCTGTACTAATGTCCTTGCTGTCTTTTACTGTGGATTAAAACTCGTACAAAATCGCCCATCCTCTCGAAAGTGTTGATTGGTATGTGACTGGTGGTGTGCCAGAATCCTAAAGTAGCCTTGATGTCATACTGTGGCAATGTAAGACATTCTCCTGTTTGTGCAGCCCTGTACCACCCTCTGCTGTCATGGAGATGGAAAGACAAGCATTCAACCTCATACAGTCAACCTCTGATATACACTGCTCAAAAAAATAAAGGGAACACTTAAACAACACAATGTAACTCCAAGTCAATCACACTTCTGTGAAATCAAACTGTCCACTTAGGAAGCAACACTGATTGACAATAAATGTCACATGCTGTTGTGCAAATGGAATAGACAACACGTGGAAATTATAGGCAATTAGCAAGACACCCCCAATAAAGGACTGGTTTTGCAGGTGGTGACCACAGACCACTTCTTAGTTCCTATGCTTCCTGGCTGATGTTTTGGTCACTTTTGAATGCTGGCGGTGCTTTCACTCTAGTGGTAGCATGAGACGGAGTCTACAACCCACACAAGTGGCTCAGGTAGTGCAGCTCATCCAGGATGGCACATCAATGCGAGCTGTGACAAGAAGGTTTGCTGTGTCTGTCAGCGTAGTGTCCAGAGCATGGAGGCGCTACCAGGAGACAGGCCAGTACATCAGGAGACGTGGAGGAGGCCGTAGGAGTGCTACCTCCGCCTTTGTGCAAGGAGGAGCAGGAGGAGCACTGCCAGAGCCCTGCAAAATGACCTCCAGCAGGCCACAAATGTGCATGTGTCTGCTCAAACGGTCAGAAACAGACTCCATGAGGGTGGTATGAGGGCCCGACGTCCACAGGTGGGGGTTGTGCTTACAGCCCAACACCGTGCAGGACGTTTGGCATTTGCCAGAGAACACCAAGATTGGCAAATTCGCCACTGGCGCCCTGTGCTCTTCACAGATGAAAGCAGGTTCACACTGAGCACGTGACAGAGTCTGGAGACGCCGTGGAGAACGTTCTGCTGCCTGCAACATCCTCCAGCATGACCGGTTTGGCGGTGGGTCAGTCATGGTGTGGGGTGGCATTTCTTTGGGGGGCCGCACAGCCCTCCATGTGCTCGCCAGAGGTAGCCTGACTGCCATTAGGTACCGAGATGAGATCCTCAGACCCCTTGTGAGACCATATGCTGGTGCGGTTGGCCCTGGGTTCCTCCTAATGCAAGACAATGCTAGACCTCATGTGGCTGGAGTGTGTCAGCAGTTCCTGCAAGAGGAAGGCATTGATGCTATGGACTGGCCCGCCCGTTCCCCAGACCTGAATCCAATTGAGCACATCTGGGACATCATGTCTCGCTCCATCCACCAACGCCACGTTGCACCACAGACTGTCCAGGAGTTGGCGGATGCTTTAGTCCAGGTCTGGGAGGAGATCCCTCAGGAGACCATCCGCCACCTCATCAGGAGCATGCCCAGGCGTTGTAGGGAGGTCATACAGCCACGTGGAGGCCACACACACTACTGAGCCTCATTTTGACTTGTTTTAAGGACATTACATCAAAGTTGGATCAGCTTGTAGTGTGGTTTTCCACTTTAATTTTGAGGGTGACTCCAAATCCAGACCTCCATGGGTTGATAAATTTGATTTCCATTGATAATTTTTGTGTGATTTTGTTGTCAGCACATTCAACTATGTAAAGAAAAAAGTATTTAATAAGATTATTTCATTCTTTATTTTTTTGAGCAGTGTATGAGTGACTTGGAGCGGCCGATTTTGTAATGTAATGCAGGTTTCTAAGGCTACGTTCACACAGGCAGCCCAATTCTGATATTTTTTCCATTAAATGGTATTTTGACCAATCACAAATCTTTTTCAGAGTTGGTCTGATTGGTCAAAAGACCAATTAGTGAGAAAAAAAATCTGAATTGGGCTGCCTCTAAACACAGCCTTATTGCGTCAATTCACTCCAAGGAAGAGGTTTATATAAGATATTTGTTTATGTCATTATTGCCATGTCCCCTGATGTGTTAGGTGGTGTGTGGTTACATCCAGATCTTCTAGATCAAAGATAAAATGCCCACACTGGCCTGCATTAATTAGAACACAATTATGCATTAATTAAAGCAAATGATCAAACTGAATAAATATGCATTCGATTTAAGCATCCTGCTGTAACAAATATATTTCCTATTCAAATGTTATTTTTTGACATTATCCAATGCCAAAGGTGACCAGTGTTTCTGGCATAGACGGCTGCTTTATGTGCAGGTAGGTTTTTGTTCCAGCCCTACAATCGTCTTAATTGAAGATTAGTTGAATCAGGTGTGTTACTGCTGGGTTTAAACAAAGTTATACACACTGTGTGGTAGGTACTCCATGTCTAAGATTGGTCACCTTATGTTATGCTGTATTCATAACCAAGTTGGAAGGTGGTAATTACCAGTTGTGAAGTCGTAAATACTAGATGGATGCATTCACTTGCTTTGAACCCATTGAGAAACGTTGATTGGATAATGACAAACAAGCTGCGCCAACCATAACTAAAAGTACAGCTGTCATGCTTGTAAACAAATTATAGTGTTCAAAAACCATAATATAATGTACAAAAATATAGATGCAACATGGAAAGTGTTGGTCCCATGTTTCATGAGCTGAAATATAAGATCCCAGAAATTTTCTATAAGCACAAAATATTATTTCTCTCAGATTTTGTCCACAAATGTGTTTACATCCCTGTTAGTGAGCATTTCTCCTTTGCCAAGATAATCCATCCACCTGACAAGTGTGGCATATCAAAATGCTGATTAAACAGCATGATCATTACACAGGTACTCCTTGTGCTGGGGACAATAAAAAGCCACTCTAAAATGTGCAGTTTTGTCACACCACAATGCCACAGATGTCTCAAGTTTTGAGGGAGTGTGCAATTGGTCATGCTGACTACAGGAATGTCCACCAGAGCTGTTGCCAGAGAATGTAATGTTAATTTCTCTACCATAAACCCATTGCCGTGCCATTCATCTGCCACCATCACCTCATGTTTTAACATGATAATGCACGGCCCCATGTCACAAGTATCTGTACACAATTCCTGGAAGCTGAAAATGTCCCAGTTCTTCAATGGCCTGCACACTCACCAGACATGTCACCCATTGAGCATGTTTGGGATGCTCTGGATCGACGTGTACGACAGCGTGTTCCAGTTCCTCCAAATATTCAGCAACTTCGCACAGCCATTGAAGAGGTGAATTATACATTTATTTAATGAATTTATTTCAGTTGACTGATTTCCTTATATGACCTGTAACTCAGTAAAATCTTTGAAATTGTTGCATGTTGCATTTCTATTCTTGTTCAGTAAAGATTACCTTTTATATAGTTTTGTTGTTGCATTTCACTGCCTAAAATGCTGTTATAGAGGTCATTTCCTTAGTACGCGACATCAGACATCAGACCTCAGCATGTGGGAGAAGTCGGAGCTCAGGGATGATAGACAAGTTTCCCACTAGGAATTACCAGTTGGAGGGCCGTTCAACTGGATTTTTCCCAGTCGTATGTGGTAAATACCACCTTCTCACCTGGTTATGAATGTAGCATTATATACAGTACCAGTCAAAGGTTTGGACACACCTACTCATTCAAGGGTTTTT